AACTCCAACATCATAATTACCAACTTCAATAATTTTCACCACTGAATACCCGAAAATACCCTTCGGATATGCACCTCTCCGCATGTTTAGGATGTGCATATCCGAAGACAACCTTTTTAAACATGTTTTGATACTTAAATGTTGGATGCAAAATTTTAGAGGTTATTTCGGATATGTACATCCGAAATCACTTGTACAAATGTTTCGGATACGCATATCCAAAACTTTCTTTATTTGTGTCATTTTTGTTTAAAACTGCATCAATGTAGATACCATATAAACAGACAAACTTTTTATGATTTTTTCGAAAATATGAAACGAACATAACAATACAGACATAACAATTAGATTAGATGTTTAGACATAGGGAAATATAATTTAATGCATAAGTTTTTTGGAAAATGTGTAATGTCAAAATATTATATTGGTAACAAAAAAAAATACATAACATAGGCTACTGCTACTGTGTATGCCTAATCCTAACCCCCTATGACCTCCTCTGCCTCCTATACTGCACCGCACTGGATGCCTCCCTGACCATCCTCCCAACGATGACAACCACCTCAGGACCGCCCTTCTCGATAATCCCAGCATCTAATGCCTCCTGTCCAAGTAGGTGGATGCTTTGATAGATCGATAAAAGATCAGTGTCATGGTCATCCTAGGGCTCTTGGTTCTCCAAGATCTCCTCATGAGATGGGCTAGGTGGACGGCCAGGACCATCCAGTATCATGATAGGGTGTGACACATTAAAGATCCATGTCACGTAATCCTCTTCACAATGCCAACTATGGGATGCCGACATCATCTGATACTCCTGTGGCCCCAAATGATTCTCCCAATCCTGTAAGATGCAATCAAAATCCTGTCGGATCATGGTGTCATGAGCAGCATGAAAAAGAGATCTTAATATCTTCTGCACATAGCCAAACTTCCGAATACACCGTTCTGGAAGATACCTGACCATAAGACTCAACTCACATGCTAGCCAACCTAAGTATAATAAGATGGGATCGAATGGGACAATATCCCTATAATACTAAAGTGGTGTCCATTTGATGTCATCATGATTGGTACGATCAAAATACACCCGGTAAGGCGACACTTTGTGATTCCCTCTGTGGAGGACATACTTTGAAGCCCTAGGTATGTCGTCAGTATAAAATGGATCTGGTTCGAAACCATGAATATGGTGGAAGTGAGAGATTATCCAACTCTGAAACAAAAATTAGATAATAAAAGTTAATAGTTAAAATGAAAGGTACCATGAGGAGTGTGCAAAAGCCAGTGAGCTATCTCGTCCTCCAATTTGAAGCTTCACTCAGCTTCTGGTAGAGGTATACCAAAATGGCAGCCTCCCAATTCCACTCACGAACTATAGTCAGATCCATAAAATACCAGAGGTATGTCACATCTATGTCGTAGGCACTTTTGTCCACAGAGAGGTACGTGCCAACCAAAACCATGAAGTAACACCGTAAAGCACAATCTCGGTGGTACTGGACAAAAACCTCGTCACCCTCATCGTTGGCCCCTGTTTCTACAACTAGATGCTCCTCATATAGTTCCTTCAGATAAGAAAACTTTGCATGCGACCCATTTATGGTTCTACAGTCCTCGGCTACCCTATATGGATCAGCTTCCAGATACTCAATCATCCATTCAACCGCCTTAGCTCATGGTACATTGTGATGGTTAAATAACCTACCTCTGATAGGTAGGTGGAGCAAGCAAGCAACGTCATCAAGTGTGATCGTCATCTCCCCAACAGGAAAGTGGAAAGACGATATCTCCTTGTGCCACCTCTAAGTAAATGCACCCTGCATGTCATGGCTTATAGTATTGTAACCAGTACAACATATTCTGGCAAGCCCAGATCAAACCACGGCCTCATGGAACCACGCAGCCGCAGGTATAAATAATTCAAATATTTTCCGTGAGTGATTCACAGGCTTAATTGGAAATCGTTCCTAAAATAAAAATAGTAATAACCATTAAATTGATATTTATGAGTAAGCCTTTAAAATGAAAAAATGCAACCAAAAATATACCTCTCCATCCCATACATGCCAAGCAGCATGATCATTATAGTAGATCAAGAGGGAGGTGTCATAAGGCCCTCCTGGATAGCCCTGATTCGCCTCCTCGGGTAACTCAACATGCTCGGGAACCTTATCCCTCTCTGGTACCTCAAAATGCTCGGGTACATCATCCCCCTCGGGTACGTCATCAGGTACCTTCTCATACGCACGAGAGGTAGACGCCTGAGACAGAAGACTCCTCGACCAACACTCCTCTGTTGATCAACAAATTTCAAACTATCGAGCCCCAATTGACAAACTCAACCAAAAGATTGTTGAAATGGAATGCCAAAAGGCCTAATTGGACATGACTAGCAATCTCCTGACACAAGATGAAATTCGACAAAAAACATTCGACGAACTCGCTCATGGTGAAAAAGCCCTTAATCTTACGGAGAGCATCAGTCAATTTACAGCGAAGAAAGAACGTCTTGACAACAAGATCTCTTTTGAGAAAACCCATTTTGAGAACATCAAATCTCAATTCCCTGTTTGACTTCTTTCACGGTTTCCCACTTTTGTCAATATTAATTCTTATATTTGTAAGAATCGTGTAATCCCTTTGGGAGACTCATGGTTACCATCTTAGTGATCTTCCATTTTGGCTACTAATATCTATAATATGCTTTTATTCTACTACAATTTGACTCTCTTGAAGTTGTAGCGGTAAAATCAATGAAGTCTCCACCGGGTATTTATTTATCCCACATAAAGGGAAAGGAAAATCATTGAAGAAAAACCTGAAGGGAGAAATCAAGGTATTGCGATCGAGAGATCGGTATAGGAGTTGATTATGTAAGGGGAAGGTATTAGCACCTCTCACATCCGTAGTACTCTACGGGATCCACTCTTGTTGTTTTAATCAAAGGGTGGGTTCAATCTAATGCTTAAGAGATAAAGAATAAAATGCTAACAGGGAATGTATGCAAAGAAAACACGGGGAAAAGAAGGAAATATTTACAAATCTTTGCTCAACTAAGCCCCACGATCAGATGCCTACGTATCCCTTTTAAGGAATCAGAGCACTATAGTTCGGATCACAAATTTCTATTTGTTTGGTATTTTTTAAATGAATAATGTCAAATTCAATCATTCCACCGCCGCTCGACCATTGGAGACTAACACACTGTAGTGGAAAGGAATCAACAAGTTCTTAGAAGAGAAAAGCCGAATGGAGAAAATAAATGAATTAGTTGGTGTTCTTTATCATGAAAAGTATTTTTGTGTGTTTAGCATATTTTATACATTAGCCAAGAAAAGGAAATTTTTGTTTTAAATGCAATTATGCAAAATGGGAATAAAAACACCTAAGGGAGACTAACCTATCTCTAACCTAGTTTTATTATACAATGATGGCCCTATGCCGAGGATGGAAAGGGAAATTTCTACCCTATGTTAGCATGCATGGATAACTATCCTAATGTCTAGCTCGAAAGCTGCCCTAATCGAGCGACCCTGAGGGAACATGCAAAAATCAAAGTCGTTATCTCATATCTAATTGAGTGACATCATCTATCGTCAACAAAGGAAAATTAAAATCCTAAGGGGAGAATGAATAGTTCGAAGTCGTTATCTCAATTCAAATTGAGTGACATCATTGATCATCAACAAAGGAAGACGAAAATCGTAAGGGGAGCACGCAAAGATCAAAGTTGTTATCTCAATTATAATTGAGTGACATCATCGATCGTCAACAAAGGAAAATAAAAATCCTAAGGGGAGAATGAAAATATCGAAGTCGTTATCTCAATTCTAATTAAGTGGAATCATCGATCGTCAACCCATGAAAACAAACACAAATACAATTAGCAAACAAGTGCAGAATGCCTGCTACAGGTCTTTAAACAACGACTTCGAGCACATGCTCTTTATTATCCTACTTCTCATGATATCTAGAAAGAAATAAAATGCGGAAAGATAAATTGGAAGCAGTATAATATTAAACAAACAATAATGTCTGCAAAAAGTGAAACCAAAGCAAAGAAATCTAGAATAGTTTGCACGAGCTAGCATCAACAAACAAACAGTCAGAGATCGAATGCTCGGAATAAGTGTCAAAGCATCATCGATGTGAAAATAAATCACAATCGAAAACTCAAGCATGTCCGCATATCACATACTAAACCTGCATAAGACTCAAATCTCAACAAGCAAAAGTGAATTACAAGTCTCGAGTAATCAAATGATCATGAATTAATTCCTAAAATCAAATAAAAAATTTAACAAATTTTTATCGATTTTATCATTTTTATCATCAAAAAATAGAAAAATTAAAAGGTAAATCCTAAATCTAAAAAAAATAAGGTGATTAAGAGGGGTGCTAAACTGGATCAGAGGTGGTACACATCAGCATTCCTAAGCTCAATTCTGCAATGAGCCCAACATATCAGTTTTTGTTTGAGAAGCTAAAAAAAACTTTTAGTAAAGGGCCAGGAAAGGGAGAGCTCGATCCATTCCAATACATCCAGCCTTCATTCTCTTTTAATATTATTGTAAAAAATAAGTAACATAATGAAATCAGACAAAAATCTAGAACGGTTGTGTTTTATGCTCTTGCGTTAGGGTTCAAAGAAGTGACTATCCAGCTTCTAACACAAAAATAACGAGTTCTTCTCCTATCTTCTACAGAGTTAAACCCACGACACACTACAAAACTTAATCTCTAATCTTCTTCAGGAAATGGAGGAGAAGTCTCTTCTGACGATCTTCTAACATCGCCGATGTTCATCATCTTGACATTTTGCCTCTTTCGTTCTCTTCTCTCTCATCTCCGTCAGATTCGTTTGACTTTGCTTTCACATTTCCGATTGGCCTTCCTAAACTTACCAATCCAATCTAACAAATAACAATTGTAGTAATGAGTGAAGGAGATTTACCAACTGGAAAAGTGATCAGCGCCTTTTCGACGGTGTTGTGCTGATGAGAAATGCCGAGATGAAGGCTCAAGTATGTGCATTTTTCCTCTTCTTCTTCGACGAGTACTCCATGACTGTTTTTTGGTGCACGAATAGTGATGTTATGTGTTATGTTGCAAAATATTATGCGCGAATATTAGAAGAAGCTTGCACAGAGATTGAAGATTTGGTTGAATACTCAAGCACGATGGAGAATGCAGTATGGATGTGTAGAGAAAAAGTGAGAACTTTATGAGATTTTGTTGTGGTTCTTCCGCATATGGATAATGAAGTGGTGGAGGTTGAAGCTTTTGTTCTTTATTGAAGTTGCAGATGATTGATGAAGATGTAGAGGAAGCTTTAGAGGAGAAGAAAATCGATGATTCAAGGTTGAGGAAGGATGGTGAGGAATTGCAGAGAGAAAGTTGAAAGGTGAATCTTTTAAATTTTCCATTATCCTCCTAAAATGAATTCCCCTTCTGTTATATAGCTCTCAAAATCTTTTAGAACTTGTGCATTCTTGGCCACGGGATTAAAATCAGTTAGAGAAATAGATGGCTGGGATATTTTTGTTATGACAGTTAGAGGGCTGAAAAATCCTGTTATTTCTGTTAATAACTACTGTTAGTAGTAAGTTGAAAGTTAGTTATGAAGATATTTTGGTTGGTTAGGAAAGTGAGTGTTAGTTAAGATGGTTTTAAGGTAGTTAAGATGAGCTGTCAAATTTTATTGTAACCGTTTTTTCGATTAATTGCTAGTCAGAATTGAAATGAAATTGGGGTTTTTTATTTTCTGCTAAACAGGTTTTCCACTTGAGTTTGATTTTGAACTATTATTTCTTTGAACTTACTGAACTAATTCTACACTAATGCAGAGATGCACATGATTTGAAAAGTTGCAGCAGGGAAGTTCATGTGGGAAGTTTGGAAACTGAACTGGATTATGTGAACCGAATTTTCTGGTTTCAATGCAGGGGCTTGTTTGAAGAAAGCTTGAGATTCATGAAGGATTAATGAAGATAAATTTTGGAGATTGAAGAAACCAAGAAGTTTGAAGTTGTATAGGCTTAGGAAATTGGTTTTGGATTTTGTAGGTTTTCATGTATGGATTTTTGTAATGATATCAATGTATTTTGGTAATGGTGTAATGATAATGTTAAATGGTTTTCGTGTGAAAAATTGGAATTCGAGTAGCACTTGGACATGAGTGTATCATGGTTTGAATTGTAATGAATATGAAGTTTATTTTAGATTAAGAAAAGCTCCTAATTTCCCTTGAATAATACAATGGTATATTGGATGAATCTTGAAACATATGGATGAAACTTTGAAATAATGAATGTTACTTGAATTTGAATTGAGTGAAGAACTTTGGTCTTGATAGACTTTTATGAATAAAATCAATGAATAACTTTAAGCGATTTATGTTCCCACTTCAATTCTCAATAAAAACCTCAATTCGATCTGAAACTTCAAGTCAACTTATATTGTAATCAATAACCAATCAAGAGAGCTAATAACTCTTTGATCACAAGCAACTCACAACTTCATTTCTTGTACCATGATTCCTGCCATCCACTTCACAAGCCCTCGACATCGACAACTAATACCATAGAAATGCCTTGGAGTAATATTTGAAGAAGAAAACCTTAGTTGATGAAGGATGTGTAAGTGATACCTTGATCCATAGCTCAAACAATATGACACTTCTTCATTCAATAATAATAAAAACCAATGCATCAAACCTTTAACCAAAAGGAAAACACAACTATAAGAAGGCAAGCCTTGATTCATAAGCCTTAAAACGATCTACATATCCTAGTTAAAGCTTCTCGAGCTTTTTTAATGAAACCTATATGATCTTGGTTTGTGACACAACTAATTAGAAGAAGTCTTCAAATGAGGTTCAAGCTTGAGAAGTTAAAGGGAAGCTGATTAGAGTAGCCACAAAAGCGACCCTAATTCCATGAACCCCAACTAAGACCACAATCCTCTATTCCTTGAGTATTTATCGAATATTCTTGAATATAGGGTCTAAACCCTAATCCAAGACGCTCAAGTCTTTAACCCTTAAGGAATCTTGTCTATGAATACATCCATGATGCTTGTAGCCCAAAACCCTAGTTTCATACCAAGAGTGATGAAAGAACCAATTGAACCAGCTTGAGAAAGGTAGCGACCTTAATCTATAGGGAAAAACCCTAATGCCAAAGAGCCCTTTGATCCCATAACCACAGAATCAGTGATATGCATGAGATATATATGATGTGATGAAGGATATTAGGGGGAAACTGGGGTATAACAGAAGCACGTGTCTATACATTTTTCAAAAATTTCCCATTTACTTTAAGGATTTGTTGGTTGAAACCTATCTCTTCGATCTTGTAAGCATTATTCGTTAATACTTTTTTAATTTGGAATGGTCCCTCCCAATTTGGTGACCATTTCCTTAACGTTCGATCTCGTTGATCCATAGGTAGAATTAACTCCCAAACATATTCACCTATTAAAAATGTTTTTGTTTTTACTATCTTATTATATGCTCTGGAAACTCGCTCCTTTTGTCAAATTAGCACATCCAACGCAACCAACCTTTCTTCGTCTAAATTTACTATTTCGTTGAACATCATATTCCAGTATTGTTCTGATGAAATCTCGTTCTGACGTTGTATCCTTACCGATTGCAGATGTACTTCGACTGGAAAAACAGTGTTATGTAAAATATACCAGTCAAAAAGGCGTTAAATTTGTCTCCTCCTTAGGGGACGTTGGACAAGCCCACAATATTTGGTCTAGTGTTTTATGCCAATTTTTTGATTTTTTGAAAATATGCTTTTTAATCAAACCAATTATCACTTTGTTTGCCGCTTCAACCTGACCCTTGGTCTGTAGTTATAGTCTCAAGATTCCTTGTTGCACCTGAAAATTTACCCTCTTGATTCAGGCTTATGTTTCATCATAAACATCATATTACATTCCATTCATTTTTGTAATGGGATCAAAGTACTCTTGTTCTCAATTTGTCCAGAAGTTGTGCTGGTCGATGGTATTGACAATTAGTGCAAGAAGGGAGATCATTCTCTCAAACTTTGGGTTTCTCAAGTCACAAGGTTTTCTCATGTCTCAAGACATTTCATCCATCTCATTGGATCATCAGAATGTTGAAGATTTTGTTGATTTTAAAGGGAATCACATTCTCTTAAATCATTTGTCAAAATTAGGGTTTTGTCCAAATTGAAGTAATTGGGGTTTAGATGAGCAAATTTTTGAAGCATCATCTTCTCATCATCATGGGAATCCACTTTGTTCAAGCTATCTCTCAAGATGTCCAGTGGAATTAGGGTTTTGAAGCTTGATCAACTGTCTCCTAACACAAGGTGCAAAAATTAGGGTTTTAAATTTAATCAGGATTTCTCTTACTTTTTCACCCAAACTTGTTTCCATGCTTCACTGCGTGTTATTAAGCATCTTTTACTGAAATGTTGAGGTTCTATTTGGATTGGAAATGGTTCAATTATTCAAAATGGGTAAAATGGTCATTTGGACCAAAAGTCAACAAAGTCAAGGGTTGACCTAGTGGCCTATTGGTCAACCCTCAATTTAAAAATTCTCATTTCTTATTTCATGGCTCATTTCATTATTGAATCAAGGGAATTGAATACTTTAGGGTTTGATTGTTCATGAAGATATTTTAATTTTTTTGAAATCTCTAAGTGTTCATAGTACATAACTTGTCCAATCATAACTTGAGTTGGGTTAATTTGTTTAAAGCAAATGATAAATATTCAGAAAGCCCTTGAAAAACTATATAAATTTGTATTAGTGTGTGAAAAGCTCAAAAAATTAACCATTTGAGAGAAAAATGGCTTGGAAGTTTCATGTACAAGACAAGAATTTTTGCTAGGCATGCAAGCATGTCACGCGCGTAATTTCACCAAACAATTGGTATGCCATTTTGTGGGATTAATTTCTTGTAAATAAAGCCTCAATTTGAAAAAACTAAAAAGAGCATTTTGTTATTTTCAATGAGAGCTTCTCATTGAGCTTTGAATCATTCAATTTGGCCAAGGATTGAGTGAGTTATAATACCTCAAAGTTGGTATCTCAAAGCTGACATCATGCACACCATGCAATCCAGAAACACACGCAAACCTAGGCAAGTTGTTGTACCCAAAAATTTGCCCACCTATATTTCTCAATACATTTCAAGTGAGGTCCTCAAATTGTTCAAGGAAGTCCAATGGTTGACAAGACAAACCCTCTCCTAAGGCAGTCTACCTCAAATTAGGGTTTCAGTTTGCATAAAAGATGTTTGAGCAAAAAGGATCCCAAATGATCACAATTGTCCTAATATGTTCTCAAGATCATTCATGTCAAGTTTCAAGCCTTGTAGATAAAATTTGCTCAGTCAATTGCTCAAAGGCCTGAAAATCGACTGTGTTAGGGCAAAAGTCAATTGTGTCTCACATACAGTCAAACTTCAAGATTTTTGGTCAACATTATTATTTTGAAGTATTATTCATCATTTTATCAAGGGTTGATCATGATTCATCAAGGATTTCTCACAATTCATCAAAACCCAAAAGTTGCTAAATTAGGGTTTTGCATGAAAAGTCAACTCAACTTTGACCAAGCATAACTTTATCATACTTTATCAATAATGACCCATCCAAATCTCATTTTTAAGATGATGTAATTCCCTACAATTCATCTTCATCTCCCAAGTTCAAAATATGCACACACAAGAAGATATAAATTTGGACATTATAGGTCATTTTGGAAAGTCAACAAACACACCTTTTTTGTCAAAGCTTCATACATGAACATGAAAGGCTCAATTGAGATGAGACCAAAAGGGTTGCTTAGAGGACATCTTAATATTTCTAAAAAGTCAAAGAACACGTGTCTAGGGTCAAAATTGAGGGAGTTATGCATTGGTAAAGTTGACCCTTTTTGCAAAATTGCCAAAAGTCAAATGTGCCCAAAATTGCAATTTTTGTCAAATGGGCCCAATTTTTTATGCTTGCATTGAGTTTGTAACATGACCCACGACCCATGATCCTTCCCATTTGTCATTATTTTATTTTTGTCATTTATTTTGATTTTATTTCAATTAAATCAAATAAAATCAAAATAAAATCATGAAAATATCAAAAACTAATCAAAGCTTGAGATTTTGTGCATGTTTAGGTATATTATATAGCTGGAAGTGAGATCAAATCGTGCAAGCTTCATTTGGACACAAAAATATTGGATTTGGCTTGATTTGGAATGATTTGCATAAGGATCAAATCATGATTCAATCATCATGATTGGAGAAGATTTGATATAACTTTGCAACCTTAATTCACTCTAGGGTACATAAGGAACATGTTCAGATCAAAAAGAAAGAGAGGGGAGGCGTGCAAGATAGAAAGAAAAGTTGCAAAAACTCAAGAAAAGTTTAAACTGATTTTCAGGATTCAGATCAATTCAAAGCATTCTAGTCATCCCAATCGTTTCCTGGACGTTCTAGGATCTTATTCCAATCACTAGAAAGCTTCCTAACATCCAGAAACACACTATAAGTGTTGCATTACTTCCATACTTTCTTGAAATCAAATTCAATAATTCTGGCATAGTTAGCATGTTTTATTGACATATCCTTAATCCATGAGTTATTTGCAAGCTAATGGTGGTACTTAATTACATTTTCATTAATTGTACAATAAGATGCCATAGTTAGGGTTCTTGCTTCGTTTTTAGGGTTTTTGTGTACAGGTACAATTGGCCATGGATAAGGGTACCATGATGCTCGTGAGGTTGCCACGAGTTGATTGGTACCATCGTTTTGCATTTATCACACTCGTATAGGATTTTGGAAAGGTACAGGGTTGTACCTACGCCCATTTGTCCGTAGGTAAAAGTTCTTGATCTAAAACTACGGAGACGATGAAAGAGATGATAGCGTGGCATCCCATGAATGGCCCATTCAAATCTGCGTGCGTTTTGATGATTACTATTTTGTTTTTTTC